TATCTATACTTTAGCAGATATTAGGAAAATTGCTCACTGCTACTTATATTCGCGCCTCCCCTTAGACTAGTTCACGCCTCCACAGGTAGGCGCGCCTCACAGTTTAGAAAACGCTGGTTTAAGTTATGCAATTTGATTGTCTTGCAGGTATTGGTGGTTGAGGATTCAGGCTATGGCTGATCTGAAAAAATGGGAGGAGCTCGACAAGTTCTCTAAGTTTAAGAAGTCACCGATCGGGTACGCCCCTTTCGTTGACGTTTGCTTAGCCAAAGGAAAACATGATGAAGCGGTTAAGTATTTACCGCGCATCGCGGACGACATTAAATTCAAATATTACGTTAAGGCCAAGTGAGTTGCTTTTATTATCAATATTATAGTTGTAATGATTTGACTTATTATTTGCAGCGAGTTGGATGATGCGGCGCAAATAGCGTTCGAGCAACGCGATATGCAGGGGCTGCTGCTCGTGCAGTCCAAATGTCCGCCTCAATCCGAATTGAGCGAGAAGATCAACAGTCTCTGCGTGCAATTGCGTTCGCGCAAATAAATCGAATCCGTACTTTCTATATAAGCATGTTATATATAATATATTATTCAATTTTCTATATAATATAAATAATAAATATTTAAATTGAGATTAAGTGTGCGTTAAGGCTGCTTATGCTTGTATCACAATTGAAGATTTGAAGGGTCATCCTTCTTTATCCTTTATTTCATAATATCGGCGATCAGTTTCCTGTATCTTATAACCATGGGTCCGTAGATGTCCTCAGCGTCGGTGAACGGCTCGCAGATTAATTGCGGCTCAGGAAGACAGGATGTGATCTCTTTGTATGTACTTTCGCTCTTGTGCAAGGCGTACTTCGCCTGGTAAGCTGCGCCCAGCATTGCGGAATCGGCCGTTTCCTGTGTATGCGTCAAAAGTGATCGTTCCGTAATCAAATTGCGGTGTAATTAATTGATGAAACACGTACCTGCACGTAGACGGGTGCGTTGAAGACGTCGGAAATCACTTGGAGTATTGATTTATTCTTAGAGGCGCCACCGGTAGCCAGGATTCTAGTATTTTCATCTAAGAAAAGCAACTGGTTTTTTTAAAAAAAAAACAAGAAAAACAATGTATTTTCTACAAACCAAATTTGAAGCCTATATCCTCGATGTGCGCTCTCCTCCCTATAAACTGGCCTTCGATCAACGCTCTCACCTCTACTTCCAAGCTGGTGAACTTGACGATCTTCTCGTTGGCCTTGTTGAACCTATATTCACCACACGTGAATGGTATTATTTCATGCGTATGGAAGTAGAATCCTGCGAATTATGAACTGGTAACACTTTATGCAACACAAATTTCCATTCCAAACCTAAATTCCCGAAATTCCCTCTAGGCGTGCTATCAAGAAGTTGATTGAAAATATCCCAGGAGCCTTCGGTGCAATCATCTCTGATCTTCTCTCGCGTCAACGATCCATTTTTGAAGCTGATTCAATAAATCTTATTCAATTTAACATTTGATATTAACAAAGTAAACCTACCATAGTAAAGCCATGTACGCTTCAGAGTCTATCGGGTTACAGAATATGTGACCTTCGGGCACAAGCTTAGGTTGGTCGAGCCACAGAAACATGGTATCACTTGTACCTAAACTGACGGCTAACCATCCTTGATCCAATCGCATACCTAATGAAATTAAAATTATTAAAGGAAATTGTTAAAATTAACTTTACCTATCAAAGAGGCCGGATTATCACCGGTGAACGCGACGACTTTGCAGTCCTTGCTGAACTCCCATCGCTCTACGTAATAGGGCGAGATGGTTCCTAGCACACTAGACGATTCGACTGGTCCATCCAGTTTCAGCTCCAAATTCGTAGCGCATGCTTCCAGTAACGACTGATCCCATTGTTTGGTGCGGATGTCCATCAAGTTCATGCCTGATCCGTCGCTGTAGTCGATCGGTGCTATTCTGCCCAAAAACAGAGAGCATAAGAAGCTGCTCACCAAAGAAATCCTCTGCAAAATAAATAAGAAATTCTTGATTTCCATAGTAACGAATGTTTCTATGGTAAACAATTGATGCGTACGTCAGTATTATTGTAGGTTTCCTTTCGAATTTCAGCGATTTTGGCGATCTGCGCCCCTGTAAACCTTTCGTAAGCTTTCGAGCCAGTTATGTGACACAACTCTTCAGGACCACCAACAGCTTCCTCCAGTTTCTTGCACTGCTGACTGGTGCTGCTGTCCATCCACACGGGGCTGTTGGACGTGGCGAAGCAACTACCCAACTGCTGATGAAGAAACTGATTAGGATCCAGATCTTTCAGACGATCGTCTGCACCTCGCAACCAATACACCGATCCGTGTTGCTGGAAATGAATTTACAATTTTAATTTTAAAAAAAGTACATTTGACGAGGTGTCGAATGATGAAGATAATGATGTTATTTGCATTCGAAACTCACTTGAGCGGTGCCGGAAATTGCTGCGATTTGCGAGAAGTCCACGCCGCTCACCGTCAATCGGTCCATCAGCATGTCCAGGGCTTTGACCCATAGAAGCGTCGGCGTCGTCACGACCTGCGGATTCATCTTGTTGAGCACTACTCCGCCATGGGTCCTGCATGAGCAAACAAGACATTCAAAACAAATAAAAGTAAAGAGTGTTGAAAGCCGATGAGATGGATAAAGCCGTTCTCTCACCTGAATTCTGGCAGGTCGCTGTCGAAGTGCACGGAAGCTTGATGCAAGATCTTGAGTTTTTCATCAACGACGACGGCTTTAAGCTAATCAATTCAACAGAAATTCGCATAATTAATTAATCGAGTTGCTTGAGCGTGCAGAAAAATTGTTCATATAAACTAGTAGTTGCTAGGCAACTTAAAAACTGATAGCGGATTCGAATAAAATTAATATGGATCATTCATCATGTATTAGTTGCGAATCAGGGACGGTTTTAGCAAGTATCAAAATCTTATAGAAAATTAGTTCAAATATCTAATCAAATCTTATACTGTATATTCATATATTGCTATACAAAAATATGTTCAAATCAAGCAGAAAATTAAAAATTCTAACAGATTGCTAATATCTTGTATTTACTAAATTTATTGACAATGAGTATTAGACATGGTTAGTTCAAATTATATGACTTGTTTGATAATTTTCTTAACTAAATATGCCTATCTTTAATAGAAATTTGTTGAACAAACATCAACATAAAAATATTTCATTAATCAAAAGTGTCATTACTGATTGACTAAACATTGTCATTAATCTGTATAAAATTGATAACTTCGTTTACTAAATATGACTATTATAGAAGAAATGTTTCTAAATTTAAAATTTGAGGAATCATCCGACCAAACATCGTAGTCTATACAAAGAATCATTGTTTCCAAGCTGAAGCGTTGTCAGCACTTGGGAGAACAAGGATGGACATGTTTGCATGATCGGGATAGCACATCTTCGGGGTATTCAGGGAAGGGAGAGTGGGAATGGAATACTTCAGCAGAAGGATCAGCGAGGATGGAGGCATTGAGATTCGGATTCAGACTGGTGAACTGGAAGGCCAACTGTGGCTTATTTTACTAAGTTTGTTATTGGTTATTTGTAGTCTCGGGAGTAGTCCTGATGATTCGCAATAGTTTATTAACATTCATACAATTATAAATTATTGTTTATGAAAATGTTCATCACAGAAATTGGTAGACAGAAGTATCAAAACAATATTTACATAAATATTATTTCGATAGTCGCAAATGTTTGTAAATAATATTTGTGAGATTAGATTAGTAGAAACATTTCAATAATCTCTCAAAAAAATAAAATTTTATAATACATTTATTACATTCTGATGCCTAATTATGCATTAGGTAAATGTAAAATAAAAAGTAGAATTTGTGAGTTATGTAATGATGTGCTGATTCCGTCCCTGATCAAGGAAGCTCATCGTTTCATAATCATGGAATACAGGTTTACCCACAGATGTCGCCGATGTCTTTTACGAAATACAAACTTCGGACAAACGTGTTTATTGGGTTTCCGAGGTTACAGGTGAACGCGGTGTCTGTTTTTTTTTTGTAGTAGATCCGCTACGATGAGTAATAGTCATCGACCAAACTGTGGGTATAGGAGAGTGCTGCCACCGACCTCAGTTTTTCGCTTGCCACTATCATCAATTCCGTTTGTTATCATCGAGTTTAGTTACCTGCTGAGTGCTGAGGTCCAGGCCCAGGTACAGAGGGTCGACGATTGAACCCATTTCGAATGTGCCACGCGAAGGGACGCAACTTCCTCACCGGTTCGTTTCTTCTTTCTCGTTGAGAAAGAGAAAGACTATAAGACGCGAGTTGGGGCCCGCGATCTGCTGTGACTCGCGCGAGTCTACTGAGAACTCCTCCTCGTGGTCGTAGTATGCGCGCCCCGCGACTCTCCGTCGAGGTCAAAGGCACGCGATAACTTCCACACTCGGTACAATTACGAAACGCCAGTGTTTGTTGTTGTTCCCGTATGCGCTGCTCCGAGGAGCGTAGATGAGGTAGAATTATCCGAGAGAAGATTCTCACAGATTCATTCTGAAAACGAAAGATCTTAAGACATGATGATGATGAAGAAGAGCAGCAGCAGCAAGAAATAATAATAAGGAGAGGGAAAAAAAAACTAGTTCCACTTATTCAGCGCTTCCTGCGGACTTGCGCTTAATTGGGATTCCTTATTCTTTCTTCTTGTTAGCGATATAATTCAAATCGCCGCATCATTAGTTCCAACTTAATCCTCGATCGAAATCTTCCCATTCAGCGAAATAAATTACAAATCAGGAATTGCAATTTGCAGACGTCAATTTGAAAATCTAACATAGAATTAGTATATATCAATTATCATTATTTACAACAAAATATTGTTTGTATACATCAATTAAGAATACAAGAGCAAATACACTATTAATTACTCTCATAGTACACAAATATGTTCTAAATTCTTCTTCAAGGTTCCTTTGAACCCTGAAAGTTTACTGTTTCTAAAATTCAAAAAATCTAGATACTTCTTTGACACTTAGATTGTTAGATGTCAAACATTGACAGATGTTAAAAATGACATAAATTTGACAGTTTATGACATAATTAATTGATTAACGAATGGTGTGTACTCATTAAGTTTGTATCAACTAAATATACAAATAATTGGCGATTATATAGAAGTTGGGTCTAGATTAATTTAATTAAACGCAATAAATATTGTTTATTTATTATACTAATAAGGCAATTATAAATTCATTTGTCGGTCGTCGTTGAGAAAGTTTAGAGGATTTATAAATTATTTTTATTTTGTCGAAACACATTCCACGGATGTCTCTGGTTTATTGCTTCCTGTTAACGTCAATGTCCTAATTCTTTGTTGAAACTTTGGTAAACCGACATTGGAAATCTGTTGAAGAGAAAATTGGAAGAAGCAATATTGACTAATTTTCAAAAAAAAAAAAAACAACAAATGATTTGAAAAGCATACATTTTGTTGTTAGGGAAAAGTTATGTAAAGTATTTATCTAAATATTTATTTATACTTTTAATTAGAAAATTTAAATTTAAAACAAATTTGCTAACTTTATGTGTGAAAGTAGAAGAAATTTGTCAAGTATAGTACTTGATGAATATGTTACGCTACAGTTTTTCAGTGACGTTTTACAAACAATTGATAATTTGTCTAGCCAATGCAATAAGTTTTCATTTTTTTTTTGTTTGTTTGCCGCAGGGTTCCGTTCTTGGTCTTGTGAGAGATATCGTCCGTATATTAGATTATAGCTTGTTTCCTTTTTTTGACAGTTCTTTGGCTGCCGGTCATGGGGGAACAAATCATATTTGCTGGGGTTTCGTTTTTTTGTTTGGAGCGCGTGTGTGGAGGAGACAGGGGGTTTGGGAAGAGTCAGAGATAGGCTAGGGTGGAGGAAGGAGAGGGAGCAGCTGCCGGTGCATTTTTATTAATTTGCGGAAAAAAGGGATTCGCGAATACATACACAAAGAGTGAGTGAGCGAAAGAGTGAGAAAGAGAGTTGGACGAAGACGGTGGCGCCTGGGGGACCGACGCCAGCAGCAGCACCGACGCCGCGACGCCCCGGTCGCCAGGACTTGCAAGAACTGGCGTCGTTTCATTTCGCTCCTCTCCCGCCGCCGTCGCCTCCTATCCGCCACCCGCAATCATATAGGTTATCTCTCCCTCTTCTTGTCTCTTCATGTTTATATGTGTGTGTATGTGTATGAAAACGGGGACGACCATCATTTATTTACTGATTGTGTGCTTCGAACACCCCCCTTCCTTCCTTCTTCGGAAAACCGCCCCCAGGGTTGCTCCTGTTCGCGGAGCCAATTGTAGTAATAACGACGGGGAGAGTGTAAACACTAACGACGCCGTCGCGACGTTAGCGCCGCCAACGCGTCCCTCCGCGGCGTCGGGAAAAAAGGGCGCCAACTTTGTTACCGCCGAAAAATTCTTTCGCTGCAGAGGAAACACAAACAGGCAGAGATTATGATGAAAGAAAAAGAAGACAAAAGAAACGCGAATCTTTATGGAGGCGCCTATGCAAAGAGGATGAAACTCTCTCGTTCTCCTCCAGAAAAGTTGTTTACGGAACTTCCGGAACACATGCCAACGTATAACAATCGCGATCACCTTTCGCATATTCGCCCCAGTTCAGTAACTGCAGCCAATTGGCGGATTTCACAAAAAAAAAACACACAGTAACTAAAAAGTTATCGCCCGAGCAGGGACTTGAACCCTGGACCCTTGGATTAAAAGTCCAATGCTCTACCGACTGAGCTACCCGGGCTTATATATATGAAGTGGCTTATTACATAATCCGAGATTCAGCTATAATTTAACCAATTTAGATAGTTTACAAATTTTATTTTATTAACATTCCTAGATTCACTATAAGTTAATCAGTTATTTCAAGTGGCTTATTACATAATCCGAGATTCAGCTATAATTTAACCAAATTAGATAGTTTGCAAATTTCATTAACATTCCTAAATTCACTATAAGTTAATCAGTTATTTCAGCAAAAGCAAAATTAAATAAAACGATGCTCCTTTTCAGTAACGACACTTATGACAGCTTGTAGCAAACGAAAGGATGACAACAGACTGTCGTGTCCCAGGGATAGAATTCTGGACACAGTGGAATATTGTCTGCTGTTGTCGTCGTGGAGTCTCAGTTGTAGGAATTAAATAATTCAATCGGTTTTACATAACTTTATTCGTTACGGTAGAAACTATGCTCGTCTTAGGTTCTTATATAACTTTAATAGTATTTAAAGGTTTTACTGAGACTATGCTTGTCCTCAAAGGTTCTGCTGAGACTGCTACTAAATACTAATTCTACTTACAAAGTTAATTCTTATTAATACGCTACTTACGAATGGGAGTTGTGATTGGGAGTAGGGTTTGTATATATTGATGATTAAGCGTTCCCACGGGATTCGGCCTTGGTGGTTTTGTTTATTATAAGACCGGGACAAAATCCTATGCATTTGTTTATATGAAAAAGATGATTGATTACGATTGAGTGCTGGTATAGGAATCTGGAAGTTCGATGATAATTCATTATGTGTTTATAATAAGGACTTGAATTCGGATAAAGGTATAGGAGTATCGATGGGAATGTTTACGCTTGGTCCCCTTTGTTTATATTAAAGTGTATGGGATCACGGTAGAGATTCTTTATGCTGATGTATATGTTTATATAATTAT